TCACTCTCTCCTTCCTTTATTGGCTCACTCAAAAAATATTACTGTATGTGTGCTGTGTGTCTTAGGCCCTGTGCTGCACACCATGGAATACAAGTAGAAGAGAGCAATTCCAACGCTCACAGCCCCACAACAGAGACAAGTGCGATGAGAATTAGGATGCAATTTAGAGGCTTTAGGTGGTCATCACTAGCATTGTGGAAAATGGAGGAAGCAGCAGCATTTAAGTGGGTGAATGTGTATTTGGACTTACAGGAGTTGGGTATTATTCAAGAGATTTAAAAGGAGGCGAGTATGGATTGAAGGACAAATAAGATCTTATCGGGTCAGCAAATGATAAAAGATGCAGCAAAGCCAAGAGGGGTCAGAGAGCAGAGCTTGTTTGGAGAACAGACAGGACCCCAAACAGTGGGAGGCAAAGTGATGATGCTCATAATGAGAATAGCAAAACGTAACGGCAGGAAAAGCCACAGAGAAAGCAAAGGTATTATTCTCCAAGGTCAAGTTTGGCTAAATATGAATGCAGCCATGGTTTTCTCTGTTGCTTAAGCAATGAACAAGGAAAAAGGAAGGCCACTTGCATTGGAAATGCTGCCCTCCCAGGAGGCACTGGCAGAGCAATCTAAGACCTACGGGGCTGTATGGCTAATTGGCTACATGGGATGGACACTCAACCTTGGAGAATCTTACTCATGCACAGAAACAGAGAAGTTAGAAATGAAAGCCAGATCTTGTGGTTCGGCAGGAATTCTCCCCCGGGTCATACTGGCAGGAATCTTGAAAGGTTTTTGGTGGCTGCTGTTCTCTTCTTCAGTTTACCCGAACACTCTGCAGCCAGCATCTACATTCCCGTGTCATGCCAAGAGATCAAATGTGAAATGTGATGCAACTCCATACTTTTTACGCAATAATTACGGAAATTATTTTTCTTGGAAACAGACAACCTAGCTGCTTGGCGGACAGCACCAATTTGCCATCTTGTCAGGGAGTAATTTTTAGACTTTAGGTTCCATGTGCACAAGCAGCAAATAATTGAAGAAGAAAGATGTGGTTTTTGATTATGAATGGATGGATGGTCCTTTGTTACTTAACAATTTGTAGCAGATTTGGTACTTCTGGTTTGTGGTTGATTCAGAACCACTGTCTTATCTCTTGTGTCCTGCGACTACATTTATTTGTGTCTGTTGAGTACGGAGTTCTGTCTGTATCATTAGTTTTCAGTGTTACCACCATTATACTTCACTATCTAGGGTAAAACAATTATGAATTGCTTTAGCCACAAGCACCAACTTCCATTCCCTTTAAGTTAGTTAAAGGATGGAGCTGGCACTGTGGCGCAGCGGGTTAAAGTCCTGGCCTGAAGCACCGGCATCCCATATGGGCGCCAGTTCGAGACCCGGCTGCTCCACTTCTGATCCAGCTCTCTGCTATGGCCTGGGAAAGCAGCAGAAGATGGCCCAAGTCCTTGGGCTCCTGCACCTGAGTGGGAGAAGTTCCTGGCTTCGGATCTGCACAGCTCCAGCCATCGCAGCCAATTGGGGAGTGAACAAGCAGATGGAAGACTTCTCTCTCTCTCTCTCTCTCTCTCTCTCTGTGTAACTCTGACTTTCAGATAAATAAATAAATCTTTAAAAAAGTAAGTTAGTTAAAGGGAAAAGTTATTCTTCCTGATATTGTGCTATATATCTATTTTTTTTTAATTTTTAACATGGGCTCACATACACATCGAATCTTTGTGTTTTCCTTCTGATATATCTGTACTTCAGCTTTTTAAATATTTTTGTCCTTTTTCACAGAGCTATGCCATTGGCATGAAGGACAGCTCTGGCAAAATATTTGTATTCATTATGAGGCACTTCAAGAAATTCATGGAAAAAATGGAATTTCAAGTTACATTTATTTTGGTGGAAAAAATTTAAAATTCACAATTTTTGCCAGGAGCTTGTTCAGTGAATAAACAAAGAGCATTTCTTTTAGTCACTCCCGTTCTTTGGTGTCCACAATACTACTTTTGAAAATGTTCTGTCAGAGGACTTTGGTAAATCATCTCTGAGCTTCTTTTTTATCCCTACTTTAGGGAGTATAATAATATGTAAAATAATTATCGTATAATAATGACAATAATGCATATTTTAAAATATTTATTTATTCATTTTTTACTTTATTTGAAAAGCAGAGAGACAGAAATAGACAGCCAGACAGAGGGAGAGACAAAGAGAAAAGGAGAAAGAGAGAGCTCTTCTGTCTGCTAGTTTACTTCCCCAGTGCAGGCACCAACCACAGTGGGCCAGGCTGGAGCTAGGAGCCGGCAGCCAGGAACTCTACCCGGGTCTCCCTTGTGGGTGCAGGGACCCAAGTACTTGAGCCATTGCCTGCTGTCTCCGAAGACTACACTGGCAGGAAGCTGGGTGGGAAGCATGCAAGCTGGGACTCCCAAAAGCACTCTAATGCAGGGCGTGGGTGTCCAAAGCAGCAACCTAAGCTACGGATCCGACTACGTGCCTCCAAGGCACCTATTTTTGTCACCATCTCAGAACTGCTGAGTCACATTTCCGCTTGTGCCTCCTTGTGGTTCCTCCCTTAGCCAAAGCCTTAGGACTGTGTCTGCTAAGCCCTGTTCAGATCTTTCTTCCAATTGCAGGTTAACAGGGTTTGATTTTTCTCTCAGCCCAGTGACTTGCACCTTTTCTGTTAATCCTCTACAACTAAATCAGACAAGTTTAACATTCTTGTTTCACATTATCTCTAAGAGGTAATCCTGAAATGTTATTTTCTATAGTAACTAACTGGTACCAGATACACAATTTCTTCAAGAAAATTTTCCACACTGACCTTTCTTTCTGAGTACTATAGCATGCATTCACATTTTACCAATCTCTAATGTATTCTGGAAAACTCTTTCATAATCTACCAAACCGTATTTTCTCCTGCTATTTGTTACTTTTTTAGTAAAAAGCAATAATTAGCATTCTCAGATTTACTCAACTATGAAAACAATAAAAACACTCAGACCACCCATGCAGAAATTTTTAATAGCTTTCCCTCAGATTACTTTAGTTGTTCCTATGTGCAAAGGTAGAAAACAATTCTTGAGTAAACTTACTCCTTTATTTAACTCACAAAAAAATTACAGAAAATTTCTGATGAAGAGTAGAAAACAATTCATTGTTTCAAAAGGTACAACTACAAGTCCCTGAGGAGGGCCAGGGCTGTGGCACAGCAGGTTAAACCACCCCCTGCAGCACCAGCATCCCACATGGGCACTGGTTTGAGTCCCGACTGTTCCACTTCCAATCCAGCTCCCTGCTAATGCACCGAGAAAGCAGTAAAGGAGGGCCCAAGTGCTTGGGCCCCTGCCACACGAGAAACCTAGAAGAACCCAGCTCCTGGCTTTGGCCTGGCCCATTCACAGCCATTGTGGCCACTTGGGGAGTGAACAAATAGAGTGATCTCTTTCTCTCTCCCCATCCCCCGCCCCCCCTGCCTCTCCCTGTCTGTAATTCTGACTTGTAAATAAATAAATATTTTTAAAAAAGTAGCCGAGTAAGTCTTTCAAAATTATTACTGTTATCACTATCCAACAATTTCGATCAGTCTTTAGAGACCCACTGCTTTCTCAATCAGCTTTAAATTCTGCTTAGTTTTATGACTCAGCATCATCTAATATCACATGAGCCACCACAGTTTATTTTACTTCTCAATATGTGTCTCTTTTCATACTTTGCAATATGTTTCCTCTTGGGAAACTTTTTCCTTACTTACAATGGTGGTAACTGTGCTCAACAAAATCCTCCAAGAATTTATAAAACATTTCCAAGTTAAAGAACAGTCTCTATGTAAACCAGTGGTATCTTGTACTTGATGTGCCTATTTAATCACCTGATAAGATTGTACTATCGGTTGTTGCTCAGAACTAAACAGCAAAACAAAGTTAGCTGTATGAAAAAATTTGTGGATAAATATTTGACCCAACATTTACAACCCCAGGGACTTACTTAAAGGAAATAATCAAGAATATACTGTTTATAAGAGTAGAAAAATTACCAATTGCATACATGTTCAACAAAATGATTTATGTAAAAAAATTATAGTATATCAGTTTAATGGACTTCAATTAAACTTTATACACAGTGTTGAGAAAACTGATATAAAAAAGTTTTAGAAAAACAAAAAGCATATTAAGTGAAAAAACAAGTAACAAAATTATCTCTAACATAATCCTACTTTGCTAAAAAAAAAAGTATCTCAAAGTATATAAATGCTTAGTTTAACAACAAAGATTAGAAATAACTATATCTCAATGTTGGAAGCACAGGTAATGTAATTTTGTTATTGTGCCTTCAACAACTTTTTAAAGTTTTGTCTTTTTTTAACCAAAATTATCCTATACACTTGGTGAAATTTTAAATGTCAAAATTATACTTTTAAAAATTGTTTTATTTGAGAGGCAGTGAGACAGAATGAGAAAGATCTTTCACACACACACACACACACACACACACTGCTTCCACCCACTGATTTCCACTGATTTATTCTTTACAAACATCTTCCAAGAGCTGGGACTTGGCCAAGCCAAAACCTGGAGACACAAACTCAATTCAGGAACCAAGTCCCTTGAGCCATTGCCATCCCTTCCCAAGGATGGAGGGTGGAGGGTGGAGCAGGAGCAGCAAGGTGTGAAACCCAGGTATCCTAATAGGGGAGGCAGGCGTCCCAACTGGCATCTTAACTACAAGGCTAACCTTGACCGCCATATTTATTTTTGAAGATAGTAAGCCATTTAGGGGGGCAGAGGCAACAATATTTTGTTTCTTTTTTTGTAAAACACAGGGATCATCTTTCCCCTTTCTGCTTTGCATGTGCCCACATTTATCATCAGGATTATCTTCCACAGATTAAAATGATTGATTTCAAATTGTAATATTCACTCTCTTCTCTGTATTAAACTATGAGCTGGTTCTAAACTCTAAACAGGTGATATTTAAAAAGAAAGACACCCTTACCTGGATATCAGTCAATTTGCCCAAGATCCGGCTTGCAAGCTTAGGACCGTTCTCCATGGTTGGAATGTGCATTTTCTATGAAAGGAAAAGAAAAAAGACAAACTGAGGATGTCCACATATCCTAACAGAGTGATAACAGGGGAGGCAAGCAGCAATTCTACCATATGAAGGCAATTCCACTGACGAGTAGCACCATAGCCTACTGCGCATGCGTGGTAGCTCATATGCCAAAGGCTCCTTTCTACTCGGAATAGGATGAAAACTAACTAGCCAATCAATGGATATTTACTGCCTCTCCACTAAATTTAGGGGACAACTGACTTATACGCAACATTCTAGATGGTCTGAAGAACCAAGGAGAAGCCAGAGATACCTAAGATAGTGGCTGAAGGTAAAGAACTGCACCTCTTCCAAGAGTCTGAAGATCTGTGAGGATGAACAGTTATCTTCTACATCTAACCCTCTGGCAGCGAATCAGAGTTCAAGGATACTTTGCCCCAAATTAAAGCAAGTTATTTCAGGGACATCAATTAAAGCAAGTCTATGCCTTCACATAAGGGGCTTCTAAATGTATCCTGAGCCCACGCTAACTCTCCAGGGGCCACAGCCTCCACAATATTGGGGAGCATGATTAAATTAATGGCTGGAAGAAATTTCCTGACACTAATTTGTATCTAAGTCATGCCTGTTCATGCTTCACTGGCTTGCAGGCTCTTAATAGTTTGATTTTAGTAGATAGTCTGTGCTCTCTTAGTATAATAGGATAATTAGATGTACCTTTTGGCTCTAAGTGTCCCCTAAAACAGAACCATTAAAAACACGTTAAACCTTATAAATTTATTTCTAGGTGAAATAATTGGAGTTCAAAAAAATCTGACCTGATGACAAAATGAGTTCACAAAGAGGACCGAGACCATGATCTGGACACTTCTACAATGAAAAGACACTAAGCAATAGCTGTATAATCATGGTGAGTATTGAAGTAAAATGGGATAGTAATTCCCATGTGAAATGATCAGTTCATACGCACAATCATGTCAGAAGCCATCCCTTAAAAATAAGTTATAAACCTTATGAAACAGAGCAGCCAACATTACAATCAGCACAAAAATCGATCTTATCAGTTCAGGAAAAACAACTGTAACACAGGGAGGGAGGGCGGGAGGAAGGGATGGAGGGAGGGAGGGAGGGAAAACCATTATGTTCTTAGAATTGTATCTACAAAGCACAGTGAATCTGTTAAAAACTAATTAAAAATTCAAAAAAATAAAAATTAAGTAACAAAAAACTCAGCAGAACTCATTCAATAGGAGATGTGTAGCCTATCTGCATTACAAGAATAAGGCCCACATGCTTTAAAGTTAGGCAATTAGATTCCAATGCTAACCCTAACTACTGGAACTCTGTTACAAAGAGGAAAGCAAAAACACTGATGAGAAAATGGGAAGAATAGCACAACATAAAATCAGACTTCTTTACTAAGAGAACACTGCTCCCAAGCAAACCTCAGATTCCTTTGGAAGATGTTAGCAAATGCACCAGGTTGGCCAACTGAAAGGTCTGTGAAGTGTTCTACTTATCAGTAACAACGGCAGGGGCTGGCCTTGTGGCAGAGCTGCTGTGGCCTTCTAGGGAGTGAATCAAGATAGAGCAGGATGTCTCTCTCTGTCTCGGTCTCTATCTCTCCCCCCTCTCTCTGTAACTCTGCCTTTCAACTAAATAAATCTTTTTAAAAACATAGTAATAATAGAAATAGTAAGTAATGAAGGAGTTGAGTATTACTAAAGTTCATTTCCTATAACCATTGGCCATTACAAAATCAACAGTTTTGGAAGTACTTTAGGAAGCCAGAAATAAAATCTAACTTCCTCTAGAGGAGCCTTGCTTAACGAGCTGGCAGGAAGAGGTGAGAGTGCAAGTCTACTGGCACAGCTCCAACATCAAAAGCAATGCAGGGCAGCTAGGATACTTGTCCAAGAAAAAACAGATTTCCCACCAGGTCTGAACTCAGACAAAACCACTGGGAAGATGAGAGGAATATCCTAATACAAAGCCGGCGCCGTGGCTCAACAGGCTAATCCTCCACCTTGCAGCACCGGCACACCAGGTTCTAGTCCCGGTCGGGGCACCGGATTCTGTCCCGGTTGCCCCTCTTCCAGGCCAGCTCTCTGCTGTGGCCAGGGAGTGCAGTGGAGGATGGCCCAAGTGCTTGGGCCCTGCACCCCATGGGAGACCAGGAAAAGCACCTGGCTCCTGGCTTCGGATCAGCACGGTGCGCCGGCCGCAGCACGCCAGCCGCAGTGGCCATTGGAGGGTGAACCAACGGCAAAAGGAAGACCTTTCTCTCTGTCTCTCTCTCTCACTGTCCACTCTGCCTGTCAAAAAAAAAAAAAAAAAATCCTAATACAAGTTCATCTGGACAACTGTGTCAGTTAATGCAATGTCAAGTCATTAAAACAAATAAAACAAAATCCTTTTGCATCTTCGGTTCAACAAGAATTTCATTCACACTTTTAAAATTAATTAAATTATAGGCAAGTGTTGGGAAATTACAGGAAGTGAAGAAATACTTATCTCACCTCGCCCTTGTAAAGGATCCCAGAAACTGGGCAAACAACACACGCTGTCCCAGCGCCAAACATCTCCTTCACTCTGTTCCCCTCCAGGGCAGCTGTCAAGTCATCCATGGTGAGGTACCGCTCTGACACCTTAAACTCACCCTGTTGGGAATATTAAAAAACAGAAAAGCAACACTGATCTTTTCGCGTTATATTCTGAATGAACTCAGTACCACAACCACCCTTCAAGGCATGGCTGGAAATGACACATAGACTACTGCTGAGCAGTGGTGCCTACGCAGTCTATTTCAAGGTCACAGAACTGATAAACGAGATGATCATAATACAAAAGATGAGATTCCCCAAATTAGATACATGCTGTATTTTAAGATACACCTGTCTTGTAACTGTTGTCGGGAGAAAGTCTCATAACTTGATGGGTTACGGAGGCTACTTAACGCATGCTACCAAGTGTCTTCAGCATTACCGTATTGTAAAGGAGCCCACATTGCATTATATAATACCGATTAGTAATTATAACTATAATTTGCGGTGACCCTTTATGGAAATTTCAGTAATCCTAAAGGAAATATTATTCCCACTGTACAGAGGAGAAAACAAAGTTTCAAGAAGGTTGTGTGAGGCCAAATAATTAGCACATGACAGGAACAGGAATCTGGGCCCAGGTCTGATCTCTTTGGGTCCAAATTTGCCCCTCTTTCTCTTGTGTCTCTTAGGTGTTAAAAACAACAACAACAAAAAGAAACTGAGTTCAAATATACAAAATATTCATTATTTAAAAAATTGACATATATTTGGACTTGATTTGAGAAAAACTGTATATATTATTTCTTCTTATAAATTGACTGATGGTTGACTACAACAATAATCTCCCTTCTCTTTTAGTATCATACCTGATTGAGTTCCATTGTAGAATTAGTGGTATAACCTCACTGACTTTTTTTTTTAAAGATTTATTTTTTTGAAAGGTGGAGTTACAGAGAGGCAGGGGCAGAGAGAGAGAGAGAGAGAGAGAGAGAGAGAGAGATCTTTCATCGGCCAGTTCACTCCCCAAATGGCTGCAACGGCTGGAGCTGGGATGATCCGAAGCTTCTTCTGGGTCTCCCTTGTGGGTACAGGGGCCTAAGGACTTGGGCCATCTTCTACTGCTTTCCCAGCCATAGCATAGAGCTGCATCAGAAGTGGAGCAGCCAGGTCTTAAACCGGCACCCATATGGGATGCTAACTCTGCAGGTGGCAGCTTTACCTGCTATGCCACAGCACCAGCTCCACTTCATTGACTTTTGCTGAAATATTTTAATATCTTCTTTAAGGATAGGAAATGAAAAAGAAAACTGTGATGCTTCTAAGCTATCTGTTTAAACTGTTTAATAATCATTTTTAAAAAGATATATTTATTTGAAAGTCAGAGTTAGAGAGAGAGAGAGAGAGAGACAGAGAGAGAGAGAGAATCTTCCATCCACTGGTTCATTACCCAAACAGCCACAATAGCCAAAGCTGAAACCAGGAGCTTCCCCTGAGTTTCCCATGTGGGTGGCAGGGGGCCAAACACTTGAGCCATTTTCCACTGTTTTTCCACAGAATATTAGCAAGGAGCTGGATTCACAGTGGAGCAGCCAGGAATCAAACCAGCACCCATATGGGCTGCAGGCCTCAGAGGCAGTGGTTTTATCCCTTATGCCACAAAGCAGGCCCCAATACTCATTCTTTAATCTGTTTAATTGCCATTCCTTTAAATTAGTGGTTAATACTCAACATTTGTTAACAGGATATTTGAGCCAAGAACAACAAACAATGGATGGCATAAAAAAAGATGGAGTATTTTTGAGAACCTAGAAATCTACAATAGATAAAAGAAATCAAAGCTCTTGGCAAGATTCAAATCATTAGAGGAAGAATGCATCATGCTGTAAGTGGATTTGGAAGGATAGGAAAATATGTCTGAAATCAAAAGATAGCTCCTTGCAAGTTTCAACCTATTTTAGTCTCCAATTACAATTATGTTGTTCAAAGGTAAATAAATAAATAAATAAAAAGCCCAGAAAATCAGCCAAGTTATTTGAAAACAAGCTGAGTTTTTATGTTCTGGAAGAGAGAAAGAACGCAGTCTCTTGTAAATAAACAGAATTGTTTTTACTCTGCTCACCCTTACTTGTCTTTGGACAATTTCCCCTGTCTGGCAAGTAGGGGTTACCCCCCACATGCCTCTTGGCATATTATGTCTCACTGTTTTAAAATAGCTTTTAAAATAAATTACAGCTAAGGAGTCAAGAAAAAAACTTCCTCCATAATAACCTATTTTTCATGCAGGCAAATCATTAGTGTGGGAAGGCATCTCCACTTGCAGCTTGTCATCAAACCTTCTGTACTTGGTTGACTTTTTTTCTCTAATAAAACAAAAATTACTGAGCTTTGAAAATATCTTTCCAACTGCAAACATATTTAGGACAGGGCAAGCTGTTTGAAATTATACCAACAGTTTGTAAATGTCATGCCCAATGTGCCAGGCACCATGTGGCAGTTGGGTCTTGTCTACATCAGGGTTTTGTAGAATTATTTATAGACATTTCTTCTTCTTCTTCTTCTTTTTTTTTTTTTTTTCAAAGCCTTTTCCAAAGAAACTGTGCAAGCACTCTCCCAGATAAGGCAGGTTTCTACATCTGTTCTGTTAGTTCCATTTGACCACAGGGTGCACAAAGACTTTCCGTGGTCTTTGGAGGCCATTTTAACACATGAGTCAGAGGTTCCATCCACAGGCCTCTGCCAGATAAGCAACTCACTCAATATTCATCTTGAATATGTTATGTTATTTTCAGCACCAAACAGCTACACTTGCTGATCTCACATGGACTTGAAAGTCTACTGCAAACAACTTTTCATTTGCTTCAGTGTTTTGATGTTGAAACATGAAGAAATCTGGGAGAACAAGGGTGTGTAAAGAAGAGAGAGAGAAAGCAGCCAAACTAATATTGTATTAGTAAACATTTATATGTGAGTAAAATGGTTTCATGTCTACGGGAAAACATGGATACACTGAAATAAATAGTGGAAAGGAAGAACTCTGCATTACTGTCCTATGGAAGACACTCTTGAAACAGTAACGGCTGGCTGGGAACACACAGAGAGTAACCTCGGTATGTTGGTAGGAAAACCAACCTGTGTGGCAAAGGGATCCAGCACTAGGATACCTTGCTGAACTGGTTTCTCTCTGTCCTCTCTACAAACAGGACATTTCTGACAGTTTTGCCAAGACATTCTTTCTTGAAGAGTTCTTTCCGCTCAAAGATGAGATAACACTGGGGGGAAGCACAGGATACTACTTCACCACAAGGCTGGGCTTATTTTGATTACTTTCCATTTGAGGTTTACAGAAGTGAGTCATGTCAAAGGCACCCACCCACTTGTGCGCCAGGTCCAGAATGCACTGCCTCGTCACTCCTGGGAGAATGATGCCATCTAGCGGAGGGGTTGCCAGTTCTTCTTCTGTCAATCAGAAATTGGGAACAGTTCAAATTCCAACTTGCATCAATAACTATTCAAAAAATGATTTCTCACAATTTTGTTAGTAATAAGTATAAACAGACAACATGACTGCTGTGCACTGCTAAATTTCCCAAAATCAATTCACACTCGTGGTAGATCCTTATTTCAACAGTGCAAACAAGAAAAAGAAACTATTCATCTCATCATTTTTTGTTTATTCTTCTTGATTAAAATAATGAGACAAGTTAATAACTCCAAGCAATGAGAGTCAAAGATTCTTAACAGGAACACTCTGCTGTCAACATTTATCTTCACACAGAAAAGCTGGTTAGCATTTAGAATAATGGGGACAGTCTTACTCTGGAACACTGGTTATTACTAAACTGCCTAAGAACTCTATGGAGGAGCCCAACCCTGAGAAGTCTGCTCAGCTTGGTCACAGCTTCCATGCTGCCCTTTGAGGAAGTCTACTGGGCCTTCAACCTGCTGGCCCATCGGCAGTAAGTATGCAGATGCTAATTTTACCCTCGGAGACTCAGAGGGAATGATCTCCAGCATGCATGAGAAATGGCTAGAAAGGAAAAAAAAAAAAAATACTCCAAGGCTGAGCTCCTGGCCTACCATGAGAGGAACACAGGGGCCGGCGCCATGGCGCAGTAGGTTAATCCTAAACCTGTGGTACCGGCATCCCATATGGGCGCCACTTAGAAACCTTGCTGCTCCTCTTCCGATCCAGCTCTCTGCTATGGCCTGGGAAAGCAGTAGAAGATGGCCCAAGTCCTTGGGCCCCTGCACCCTTGTGGGAGACTGGGAAGAAGCTCCTGACTCCAGATCAGTGCAGCTTTGGCTGTTGCGGCCATTTGGGGAGTGAACCAACAGAAAGACCTTTCTCTCTGTCTCTTCCTCTCATTGTCTGTAACTCTACCTCTCAAATAAATAAATAAAATCTTAAAAAAAAAAAAAAAAAAGAGGAACACAGTCAGCTGCAAATGCTCTCTAAAAGACTTCCTCTGGCAGATATCTCTCTTTCTTCTCCACCTATGACACTTAATGAGAAATTCAAAACTTAAGTCATCATTTTACAAAGCTGCTGGACCTTGTAACAGGGCACTGCCCACCATGCATTTGCTAAGGAATTCATAGTCTGTGTGAAGGGATTACCAAGTAGAAAAAGTAGAGGAGGAATCACAGTGCTAGCTCCAGGTTTACCCAAGCTGTCTTATGTAGTTTAAAAGAAATTCAGAACACACTATTAATCCATATCTCACACAAGAAGAAACAGAGGCCCCATAAACGTGACTTGCTAAGGCTGGGGATACTAGTGGACAGCTAAGATCAAAGCTCCAGTGTCCTCACACTGAGACCACCACCTGTTCCCCCAGTGCACAGTGGCTCTAGGCTGGTCTGCTCCGCTGTAGTGCCATCAGCCTTGCCCAACAAACAAGCTCTGCTTGGAAGACCAAAGCTCCATATTCACGCCGGGCCCATGGCGGGCTAACAAATGGTTTTGATTTTAAAAAATGAATGACTAAGTCCTTTTTGCATGGACACAGCAGTAAGGTTTATAAAATTTGTTGTTTCTGACCATCATCTGCTGAAAATTGCTTTCTGAAAGAAGAAAATTTGTTCTTGGCAATGTCCTTGGGGCTATTTTTTGCCACGTTTAGAAGCACTGATGATTTCCAATTAAATGTGTGCTTTGCAATAGCAACACACACACACACACACACACACACACACACACACACCCCTACCTCCAGTGCCCCCAAATCTGCCCTCTCCTGAAGCTTGCCGAGCTCTGAGAACCACGTGAAATGAAGGGGAAGCAGCAGCCCTGCATGTGCAAATGCTGTTTTGTGAAATACGTTTGACACCCAGAGCTCTAACCACTCGCCCGAGGTCAAGGAACAGAACAGCTGCTTCTCGGGTTGCCAGCCAGAGATGATGACATGACAACATTTGGGTGAGAAATCCTCATTTTCCTCTGCAACCACAAACATGCTTCCAAGAGCCAGAACTCACTCCAGATTGCCCAACAAGAGGAAAACAGAACCTCCAAACGCAGCTTGTTTTGGACAGAGGCATCATTTTCAGGAGAAGAATTTACAGGCAACAGCAGCACGGTTCATCTGTGACTTCCCAAAGTCAAGTGCTAATGGAAACCAGGCCTGCAAGACTGCAGAAGAGCCCGGAACCCCACCAGCACAAGTATTTACTCATTCAACAGACACACACTGAATGCTCTCTACTGTTCTAAATTCTAGGGACCTAGCAGAGAACACAAATGACACAGGAGGGTTCTTCAAAAAGCCATGGAAAAACTGAATTAAAAGATGAGTTTATTTTGGCACACTAAAAATTTTTAGAGCGCTAGACTGGAAGCAGAGCAGCTGGGACTCAAATTAGCACTCTGATAAGGGATGAGCAGGTCCCAAGCAGTGGCCCACTCCTCCAGGTCAAACATCTGCCCATCATGTAGAGCTTTTATCACACATTTTCCATGAATATTTTGAAGCCACGGTGTAACTCCCTGCTTACTTTCTCCTAAGGAGAGGAAAACAACTATCGTGCTTAATTAATGGTACGTTACAATCCGAGAGAGAAAAGGCAGAAAGAACTGTGGAATTCCAATGGTGGAGGAAGCTTAAAATTTTGATTGAAGGCTCAAGGATGGCCATACTGAAAATGGGATTTGCATGCAAAAACCTGGAGGTTGGGACAGAGCCATCTATGCAGACACCTTGCTCCAAGTCAAGTCAGTACCAACACCTGATGGGCTGGACAAAGCTTGAGATCTGTGAACTGAGCCATTGCAATACTCATTGCCATGGTCACTGTCCCCAACCATGAACTCAACCCCAAAGTCTGGGTCTTACCTTTCAGAGCACCCCTGTGTTCAGGCTGTGATAAAACTGCCCATTCAGATGGTGAGCAGCAAGTATATGTGTCAAATTATTCATCAACACAGGAGGGAGAAGAATCAAGGCTGTGGGATCTTTTGCTTCTAATTTTTATTTATTTACTCACTTATTTAGTTGAAGACAGATGGAGTAGGCTCCCATTTGCTGTTTCATTACCCAAATGCCTACAATAGTCTGGGCTGGACCAGGGCAAAGCCGGGAGCCAGGAACTTAATCCAAATCTCCCACACGGGTAGTAGGAATCTAAGCCCCTACTCCATCCCCTGCTGCCTCCTAGGGTGCACATTAGCAGAAAGCCGACATTGGGAGCAGAGCTGGACCTGAACCCAGTCACCTTGATGTGGGATGCAGGTTCACCAGTTTAATCATTAGGCCAAACACCTGCCCCGAGGCTATATCATCTTGGTGTGATTTTATCATTACTGCTGCTGTAGTAGAATTAAACCCTCATGAATTACAGACTGAGAGCCACAAATAGTTCCTGTGCACAGCAGTGTGCTCAGAACTCACACCATCACCCTTCACCAGCCATGCCGTCCAAAGGGAGCAGTGAGTGTGGGTGCTCCTGGGAAGATGGCCGGTTATTACTGGAGGAACCCTACTTCTACCTCCTGGTGATAAGGTTTGCAAAACAAATTCTGCTGATTTTCAGTTCAGTATTTCCTGTTTTATCCTAAAGCCACACAATGCAGACTTCCTTCAATGCCTTTTTTTCCTGCAGCCCAAAGGTTATTCCTGATGTTCTATGTACTGCTCTCAGAGAACTGTTGCAATGTATTCCATTTTCTTAATTCAGATGTTATTTGGTCTGTTAGATAAACATACACACAAGGGAAGGAGTACAGCAAAGCCAAAGTTGGGGTAGGCATTTGGTGCACTGGTTAAGACACCACTTGGGACACCCACATCTCATACTGGAAGATCTGTGTTGGAGGCCTGGCTTGGCTCTCAATTCCGGCTTCCTGCTACTGTGTCCCCTGGGAGGCAGCAGTGATGGCTCAAGTACATGCAGCAGACTGGACTTGAGCTCCTGGCTATTGTGTGCAACTGGGAAGTGACTCAAAGGACAGATCTCTGTCTTTGTCTCTCTGCCTTTCAAATAAAAGAACAGCACTAATATTATAATAATACCAATATTATCTCAGGCAACCACCACAATCTGAACAGCCACTCTTTTCAGGGCCTGTATATTTTACAAGAGGCAAAAGACAAATTCGCTCATTTCCTCTCTGACCTTTAAAAGCTACAGTGGAAATGTTCCATGATTATTGTTTGGAAAAGGGGCAATTTCTCACCAGGACACTTTCTCGTTTTGCTGGTTGAATCACGCGGCCCTGATTCAGACTGTGCTGAAATCCCGACATCTCCCAACCATAAATAATGATGGACCTGCTTCTAAAGGGTGAAACTGTTTTCATGTGGGGTTCTGTGGGTTTAGGGGAAGACTCGGGGGTATGGTAGGCGTGGATAGGCGGGAAGAACAACTGAATCAACCTCTGACCTTCTAAGTGCAGATTTCAACACCAGCTGTCATGTGTCAACCAAAGCTTTTGTTACGTTATATATGATAACTCCCATTTTGAAATCACAAGCAAGCCATATAAATTTTGTTTTTAAATAGTGCCAAGTACAAACAGCAGGAGTGGAAGAATGACTCGCAATTGTATCCGGCATCTCCCATGCCAAGGATTGCCAGCAGCCAACCCCGGGACAGGCAGTCCTCACCACACCTTCTGTTTATGCTACCTCTGAGGGGAACATAAGACTCATCCTGTTAGTCTCCTCCACGAACACTCAAATTAGTACCCAGCTCTGAATTCAGCCGCATCTGAATCACCATTTTCCTCTTTTTGTTGCCAAATAACATAAGCGCAACACAGGCCACTGTAGCAGCTTTGAAACTCAAATATTTTAATTGAAGCCAATACTGAGACCTCATAAATATTTGGAACATTATTTTACTTTTCTCCTCTCCATACTCACTACCATAAAATGAAAAAACTAAGACCGAAAACAGAAGCCTAAAAGTATGTTTCTGAATTTTGTGTCTATCAACATTCTAATGCAAATAAGTGCATATTGATTTATTTTCTCACTGTGGGCCATTTAATTCAATACATCACTCATCGCCAAGCTTCCCTGAAGCCCTAAGGTGTCTGCCAACTAATACAAAAAGAACAACAAAGAACGGCAATGAGCATTCAGGCTATTTCCTTTAGCAGACACATAGAAGCCCTCATAATTCAAAGAATCTGCATACAATTCAAGAGATAGTGATTTGTCTTTTAAAATAATGTACTGGGGCTGGCACGGTGGCACAGAGGGTAAAGCCGCCTCCTGCAGTGCTGGCAACCCATATGAGCACTGGTTCAAGTCCCAGCTGCTCCACTTCTGATCCAGCTCTCTGCGATGGCCTGGGAAAGCAGAAGATGGCCGAGGTCCTTGGGCCCCTGCATCTGCGTGGGAGACCCAGAAGAAGCTCCAGGCTCCCAGTTTTGGATTGGTGCAGTGCCAGCCATTGCAGCCATCTGAGGGGTGAACCAGTGGATGGAAGATCTCTCTTTCTCTGCCTCTCTGTAACTCTGCCTTTCAAATGAATTTTAAGTCTTTAAAAAAAATATACTTCAATCAAATGGAGTTCCAGAAAAGACGTGAAGGATTTCTGATATATTAGCAAAACATATAGAAAGGGCAACAATTGGTAACAAAGTATGGTAAAAGAGAACACGAAATTCCTTGTCAGTAGAAGCAGCAGGCTGTACTTATTGCTATGGTATTTTAGCTACTGTACAGTATCAATGACCCTAACTAATTTGAGATCTGTCTCCAAAAGCAACTTGTTCAGATAGTAAAAATATTATAGGACAGCATTAAGGCAGAAAATTTTCAAATCATAGACTTAAATCTCTTAATCCAACAACTTAATAATTAGGACATCTGTAGTCAACAAACAAAAACTAAGACAATCTTTGCTAACTTCTTTAATCTGAAACTCATGCCTACTCGAACATTGAAGGCACAGGGGTTCTCAGTGCTTGAAACTGTGCTACCTACTGTTATTCTACGTCTCTAGTTCTTATCTTTCCAGTTCCATTGGGAAAATGGCAGAAAAGGAGCAGAGCTGAAATGTGAGTGGATTACCTCCATCTTCGTTGATCCAGTATAGGAAAAGATTCATAGTCCCAACTTCCGTTATCTGATTGTCCTCTCCATAGAGCCACAGCACCTGCTGACACCCATGCTCCATTGCTTCACATTGCGCAAAAAGAGAAGCGCCGTAATTCCTTTTAATAAAAACACAATAATTATGATGTACTCACATTACTGCAAACCCCCATATCCTCAAGTCTTTAACTCACACATGGACAGGGTCAACTATTGCGTTCTTTACATAGATTCTCTAGTTAAGTGCGTGAGGTTAAAAGAAAACTCAGTAGAGACCCTTTGTGATGTAACTGCATTAATTTGAATAGTACAGCTCTAAATCTGTGCTCTCAGGGACTTATTCCAGAGACACATAAATGACAGAGTCTAAATTGTACCCAGAAATGGCACAAATGTAAAAGAAACTCCTGACTTCAACCAAGAAGTATTCCAAAAGATAATTTTTCTCAACTTCCACTATTCTTCCTGGAATATTAAATCAAAAGAACACAGAACACCTTCCTAGAATGACAATTCAGTAATATTTCATCTTTTATTTAAATCTAAATTACCAGATAGGGCTGGATGCCTTAAATACAACATGAATATCTTTAAATAAATATGATCTCTGCCTGCTTCTCTGCGCCACTAGTTGCATAACTCACTTTCCTTGGCTTTTGGAGGACATTAACAAAGTGGAGAGGCAGAAGTGGCTTGGGAACAGACTCAACGTTGGACTAGGAAGCCCCCAGAAATATACACAGAAATGAGCAACCAATCAACTCAAATTACTACAAAGCATTAATGTATGTAATCTTCCACAAACTACCTGCTTAGACCCTTAAAAAATTATTCATTTGAAAACCAGAATAACAGAGAGGGGGAGAGACAGAAATCTTCCATCTGTGGTTCACTCCCCAAATGGCTACAATGGCCAGGTGTAGGCCAGGCTGAAGCCAGGAACTCCATCTAGGTTTCCCATGTGGGTACAGGGAACCAAGCACTTGAGCAGTCTTCCACAGCCTTCCCTGGCGCATGAGCACAGAGCTGGCTCAAAATGGAGCAGCTGGGACTTACACAGCACGGGCACCCCAGCACTAGCCCCCTGCTTAGGTCTTTTCAATGCCTGTTTTCACATCTAGGTAAGACTACAGTGTGTAGTGTTGTCTAATTTGAAGTGTCAGTCACATGAGCTATATATATATATATATATATATATATATATATATATATATATATATATCGTGAATATACTCTGTTTTCATCTGCACAGCTTCCCTTCACACTCTGTTCCCTCTTGATGAAAACAGCCCTTGCTCTGGGGCATTGACTCCAGTTCCAGTTACCCCACTTCTGATCCAGCTCCTTAATGCACCCAGACCTGGCCAATGAGGTCATTTGTAAACCAGCAGAAAGAAGACCTCTCCTCTTTCTGACTCTTTCAAATAAATACATGAATCTGAAAAAATAAAGAAAATGACAATCATAGCATCATTCTCTGCCACAGCTGAATTACACAGTGAGCCTCGGACCTACGCTGTTCATATTAATTCTCGTCTGGGTTTCTTCACCGATTCATTTTCATGTATAGAACCTGAAAGATAAACTATGTTCTCCCTCCCAAGGTTGCAAACACCAGAGCACAGGAAACTTAGTAACCACAATGTGAGCCTCTGGCAGTTCTACTCCTACCACCCTACTTAGAGGAGCCATTCAACTCCTTTTCTACTTGCAACTGGAAGAATACTGACTGGTAACTGAAATATTCTAGAAAGCTAATGATTCGTGTCAAGGTAATGTCGATTTGTTGCATGATCCTCAAATCATTCAACACAGATAAAAAAAAAAAACAGTCCATTTGAAGAAGAGATAAGTCTGACATCTGGAACTTTCATTTGTTGAATGAGCATACAAAATCCCATCACTCTTAGTCGGAATTGAGGGAAAATAGGCAATAAGTAGGGCAGACTTTTGGTGCAGTGGTTAGGATACTGCTTGGGACACCCAAATCCCATCTCAGAGTATCAGGGGTCAAGTCTTTATCTGCTTCCAACTTCAGCTCCCTGCTAAGGTGGACCCTGAAAAGCAGCAGGTGATGGCTCAACTGCTGAGACGTGGAGTCCCTGCTGAGACGTGGACTGGGGTCTCAGCTCCTGGCTTTGAACTGGTCCAGTCCCAGATGTTGCAGGTAGTTCAGGAGTAAACCAGCAGATGTTTCTCTCTTTGTTCTCATTGTCTCTCAAATAAAATGGAAATAAATTTTTAAAATACACATTTAGTAATAAGTACAAAATGGCCAAAGAGGGGCAGGTGATATGGGGCTTAGCCACACCTAGAATACCAGCATCCCTTAGAAGCACCAGTTTGAGTCTTGGCAGCTCCAGTTTCAATCCAGCTCCCTGCTAATGCACCTGGGCAGGTACTGGAAGATGGCCTGAATGCTTGCATCCCTGCCACCCACATGGGAGACCAGGACGGAGTTCCTGGCTCCTGGCTTCAGCCTGGCCCAGCCCCAACAACTGCAACCATTGGAGGAATGAAGCAGCAGATGGAAAATCTTGATCTCTTGATCCTTCTCTTGCTCTGTAACTCTGCCTTTCAAACAAATAATTCTTAAAAAAAAAAAAAAAATGACCATGCAAGTAAAAGAGCTGTCTGCACCTCAATGTATATTGCAGTTCAATTCACAATAGCTAAGACCTGGAATCAACCCAAATGCCCATCAACAGTAGACTGGATAAAGAAATTATGGGATATGTACTCTATAGAATACTATACAGCAGTAAAAAAAAAAAAAAAAAAAAGAAATCTTGCCATTTGCAGCAAAATGGAGGAATCTGGAAAACAGCATACTGCGTGAAATAAGCCAGTCCCAAAAAGACAAATATCATATGTTCTCCCTGATCGGTGACAACTAACCGAGCATTAAAAAACAAACAAACAAACAAACAAAAAAAACCTGTTGAAGTGAAATGAACACTATGAGAAAAAATGACTTGATCAGCCCTTGTCCTGACTGTCAAGGAACAAACTATTTTATTCCTTTTAGAGTTTTTTGGTTCTACTTAACACCATTGGTTGAACTCTTTAATTAACACACAATTATTCTTAGTCATTTAAATTTAACTGAAAAGTGATCCATGTTAAATATAAGAGTGGGAATAAGAGAGGGAGGAGATGAACAGTTCGGCACATGCTCAATTGGACTTGCCCCAAACGGCAGAGTTAGAAACGTGCCAGGGGATTCCAATTCAATCCCATCAAGGTGGCATGTACCAATGCAATCCTTTTTTTTTTTTTTTTTTTTTGACAGGCAGAGTGGACAGTGAGAGAGAGACAGAGAGAAAGGTCTTCCTTTGCCGTTGGTTCACCCTCCAATGGCCGCCGCGGCCGGCACGCCACGGCCGATGCACCTCACTGATCTGAAGCCAGGAGCCAGGTGCTTATCCTGATCTCCCATGGGGTGCAGGGCCCAAGCACTTGGGCCATCCTCCACTGCACTCCCTGGCCACAGCAGAGAGCTGGCCTGGAAGAGGGGCAACCGGGACAGAATCCGGCACCCCGACCGGGACTAGAACCTGGTGTGCCGGCGCCACAAGGCAGAGGATTAGCCTAGTGAGCCATAGCACCGGCTCCAATGCAATCTTACTTGTTAAAGTGATCAGTTTAAGTCATAATTGATCAAAATTTATATTTATTAAAGTTGAAAAAAGTTTGAATAAAAAAGTGATCACTGTTAAATATAAGAGTGGGAATAAAAGAGGGAAGAGATGTGCAATTTGGGACATGCTCAAGCTGATTACCTCAAATGGTAGCGTTAGAAACATACCAGGGGATTCCAATTCAATCCCATCAAGGTGGCATGTACCAATGCCATCTCAGTAGTCCAAGTGATCAATTGCTGTTCACAATTGATCATAATGATAAGACTAAGAACCAAAGGGATCACATAAACAAGAATAGTGTCTGCAAATACTAGCTGATAGAATCAAAAAGGGAGAGAACGATCCAACATGGGAAGTGAGATACACAGCAGACCCATAGAATGGCAGATGTCCTAAACAGCACTCTGGCCTCAGAATCAGCCCTTAAGGCATGCGGATCTGGCTGAAAAGCCCATGAGAGTATTTCAGGCATGGAAAGCCAAGACACTCTGAGGGGAGGGGAGGGAACTAAATGAAAGATCTCCACGAGTGAGATCCCAGTGGAAAGAACGGGTCATCAAAGAAGGAGGTACCTTTCTCTGAAGGGAGGAGAGAACTTCCACTTTGACCATGGCCTTGTCTAAAAATTATCAGAGTCAGTGAACTCAGGGGGCTTCCATAACCTTGGCAGCTCATGACAAGAGCCTAGGGTGATTACTGAGGCCATAAATAAGAGTGTCAATTTGTTAAGTCAACAACAGGAGTCACTGTGCACTTACTCCTCATGCAGGATCTTTGTCCTTAGTGTGCTGTACATTGAGATTTAATGCTATAACTAGTACTCAAACAGTATTTTTCACTTTATGTTTCTGTGTGGGAGCAAACTGTTGAAATCTTTACTTAATGTATGCTAAACTGATCTTCTGTATATAAAGAGAATCGAAAATGAATCTTGATGTGAATGGAAGGGGAGAGGGAGTGGGAAAGGGGAGGGTTGCGGGTGGGAGGGACGTTATGGGGGGGAAGCCATTGTAATGCATAAGCTGTACTTTGGAAATTTATATTCATTAAATAAAAGTTTAAAAAAAGTTTGAATAAAAAAGAAACTGCATTATTGTTCTATCTTGTATGTTATATGTATATACATATTGCATGTCTACACAGGAAAATTTATTAAGAGCTTTGTTTTAATTGGCTTATACATAAAAGATTGCTCATCAAATTAAAGAGCTAAAATTAATCAAAGATACATTTTGATTAATGTGACCATAATCTCTGTTTCACATGTTTTAAATCTGTTGGTAGAAAGAAACTAAAAATGTTTTTTATGTTTGTGCTTGAGTTTGCTGGTTAAATAAGCTACATCATGCTAGATATTTAAAAGATGTTTCCAAATAAATGTATTCTTAAAATTTATAGAAGGCGTTGGACCTTCTGGTAAATGTTTTCCTAAGTTGTTATCTAATGGTTGAAATTACTTGCTAAGTTTTCATTTG